TATTATTCATCGTGCACGCAATTCAAGAAATAAACGTTTCGAAATCACGATGAATTACAAACTTAATCTACATCCAAATATTTGATTTTAACAAAACCACTTTTCCATCACTCATCTTAACAATGCGCCGTTTTAATACGCTGCAAACATTTCGACGTAAGCTTAAATCCATAGAGTACAGTAAATTTATTTTTTAAATTGTGTAAAATTGCATATAACGAATTACGTAATTTCGATTACTTCTATTACTTCAATCGAAAGCTGCATTATTCGTATCCAATTATCGCGATATTAGTTTCAAATTCAAATTGGAAAATCTGCATCAATAAGAATACAGTAAAATCTCGTTTAACGTTAAAATACGTTTTTAAACAAGGTATTACTGTACTTGTTTATTTGACAATTTGAATTTGAGTATGATCAGTTGCATACAATTACGTAATATCGATAATCATTGCACATTTAAATTCAAAATATCACTCACTTTTCATCGTAACAATGCGCGTCCGCCGTTTTAATACGCTGCAAACATTTCGACGTAATCTTAAATACATAGAATACAACAAATTTCTTTTTTAAATCGTATAAAATTGATTGCATATAACAAATTACGTAATTTCGTTTTACTTCAATCGAAAGCTGCATTATTCGTATCCAATTATCGCGATATTAGTTTCAAATTCAAATTCGAAAATTTGCATCAATAAAAATACAGTAAGATCTCGTTTAACACTTAGAATACGTTCTTAAACGAGGTATTACTGTACTTGTTTATTTGACAATTTGAATGTGAGTAGAATCGGTTGCATACAATTACGTAATATCGATAATCGTTGCACATTTAAATTCAAAATATCATTCACTTTTCCATCACTCATCTTAATAATACGCCGTTTTAATACGCTGCAAACATTTCAACGTAATCTTAAATCCATAGAATACAACAAATTTCTTTTTTAAATTATGTAAAATTGGTAGCATATAACGAATTACGTAATTTCGAATTACTTTTAATTTCTTTACCTCAATCTCATTATTAGTTTCAAATTCAAATTCGAAAATCTGCATCAATAAGAATACAGTAAGATCTCGTTTAACGCTTAAAATACGTTCTTAAACGATGTATTACTGTACTTGTTTATTTGACAATTTGAATTTGAGTAGGATCGGTTGCATACACCTTAATGACGTAACATCGACAATCATTGCACATTTAAATTCAAAATATTAAAATGTTTTTAATTGTTGCCGTATCAATTGGATTTCCAATAAACATAAACGTTTCCTACGTGATTTCTAAAGACTTTAAGATATTCCTAACATCATGACTTAAACCTACTCTGATTATTTTTTTATAAAACATTTGAAATCGCGAGAAGAACTGGTTGCGTGGCACGAATATGCGTAACTTTAGCAAAAAAAATAAACTTTGACCGTTCCATGTTGATTCGATTATGATTTCGCGCTTCAGTCAAAATTTAAAATTAATGTAGATTTAGTATGAATGAAAGTAGATGTGTTGCGTAATAGTAGGAGACGACACGCGCGTGCAAATTGCACGATCAAATAATGGATCGGATCGAACGAAAAGCGCGCAATGATTCTTTGGGAAAAAAAAGGCGGATCGGATCGTTCGGAGTCAATTAGGACCGAGCAAACAGATTCAATGCAATTCGCGATCGTCGTTCCCCGTTCAGTGTTGGATGAGAAGAGAAGAGAAAACGGAGATACAGTTTGAGCAGCGCGATTCATGCATTCCGTATCGTACGCCCGAGTAAGTGTGCGCGCGTGTGTGATTGATTGATTGATGCGAATTGATCATCATCATCATCATCATTAGAATTAAGAGTATTTTGATTGTAGTCTCACAAACTATGGGGAGGACGTTTCAAGAGCAGCACCGATCACCAACTGGAGCAGCTCAACGCTTCGATCCACGTGGACAGACGGATGTACGCCGAAGACATCGTCGCGAGTCAAGCTTACGCGAAGACATTGAACAGCATCCAACTGCTGACCAACGATGAGACGAGTAAAATCTGCACCGGATTGGATCAGGTCAAGCAGGAATGGGACGAGGGATCCTTCAACATCGTCAACGACGAGGACATTCACTCGGCGAACGAGAGGAGGCTCAAGGTACTAAAAAAACTACTGAAACGATATAAAGAAATTGACGAAGAAAATTGAAGGAGATCATCGGAGAACCCGCGACGAAGTTGCACATGGGTCGCAGCAGGAACGATCAAGTCGCCACCGACATGAAGCTCTGGTTGAGAGGAGCGTTGAAGAAGTTGGACGAGAAACTGCGGAATCTGATTGAGGTGATGGTGAATAGGGCGAGAGATGAAATCGATTACTTGATGCCGGGATACACGCATCTGCAGAGAGCGCAACCCGTTAGATGGAGCCACTGGCTTTTGAGGTAACGGATTAATAGGTTAGATTATAACTAGGTTAGGTTATGATTAGGTTAGATTATAACTAAGTCAGGTTATGATTAGGTTAGATTATAACTAGGTTAGGATTAGGTTAGGTTAGGATTAGGTTATTTTATGATTAGGTTAGGTTATGATTAGGTTAGATTATAACTAGGTTAGGTTATGATTAGGTTAGCTTATGATTAGGTTAGCTTATGATTAGGTTAGCTTATGAATAGGTTAGGTTATAACTAGGTTAGGTTATGATTAGGTTAGCTTATGATTAGGTTAGCTTATGAATAGGTTAGGTTATAACTAGGTTAGGTTATGATTAAGTTAGGTTATGATTAGGTTAGGTTATAATTAGGTTATGTTGTAAATTATAAGGTGACAACTTGTTGCAGTCATGCGTGGAACTTTAAGAGCGATTGTGAGAAGATCAAGGATCTGCTGAAACGCGTGAACGTGATGCCGCTGGGAAGCGGTGCGTTGGCGGGAAATCCCTTCGACATTGATCGCAATTTGTTGGCGCACAACCTGGGTTTCAGCGATTTAACGCAGAACAGTATGCAGGCTGTGGGCGATCGAGACTACATCGGTTAGTTTACACTTATTATTTCAGTTGTAACGATGATGATGATGATACTTTGTTGTAGCCGAATTCTTGTTTTGGGCCTCGTTGACCGGAATCCATTTGACAAGATTGTCGGAAGATCTGATCATCTACAGCTCGAAGGAGTTCAACTTCGTGGAGATCCACGACTCGTTCTCGACCGGGAGCAGTCTGATGCCGCAGAAGAGGAACCCGGACAGTCTGGAGTTGATCCGCGGCGTCGGCGGAGGTCTTTTCGGGCAGTGCTGCAGCTTCATGATGGTCCTGAAGAGTCTTCCGTCCACGTACAACAAGGATCTGCAAGGCGACAAGGAGGCGATGTTCTCATCGTTCGATAAGATGATCTCGATCTTGGACGTGGCGAGCGGCACTCTGGAGAGTCTCAAGGTGATAATCGCTGTGAAATTCTTAAATATTAGATAATATCATTTAATATCAGGTGAACGCGTCCAATTGCCACGAAGCTTTATCGTTCGATATGTTAGCAACGGATTTGGCTTACTATTTGGTGAGGAAATCGGTGCCGTTCCGCGAAGCCCATCACATCGCCGGTAAAGTCGTTTCAGCTGCGGAGGCGAGAGGAGTCGAGATGTACGATCTCACTTTGGAAGAGCTGAAAACCATCAGGTTCGCTTCAACAAAATTGCATAAAAACTGTGTGTAAATGTACGAAATGTTGTTGGTTTTTTTTTCAGTAAGCATTTCGACGCGGACGTCGCCAAAGTTTGGAATTACGTGAACAGCGTCGAGCAGTACGAGGCGATCGGTGGGACAGCGAAGAACAGCGTCCTGCAGCAGATCCAAACCTTAGATTATTGGCTCGAAGCAGGCTCTGCAGATCTGTAAACAAAAACAACAAAAACATTTGAAAAAAACAAAATCAATTACTTAAGTTGTCTATCCTGTAAACAATAAATCGTACCAACTTATTAAAAATAAATAATTGCTTATTTGTAAGTAATTAAAACAGTATTATTCACGTGAATTAGCGTCGATCAATAAGCTTCTAATAAGATGTTTTCATTTGTCATGTGGGAAATATAAAAAAAACGCTTAAAATACGTTCTTAAACGATGTATTACTGTACTTGATTATTTGACAATTTGAATTTGAGTATGATCAGTTGCATACACCGTAATTACGTAACATCGATAATCATTGCACATTTTTAATTCAAAATATAAAAATGTTTTGAATTGTTGCCGTATCAATTGGATTTCCAACAAACATAAACGTTTCTTACGCGATTTCTAAAGACTTTAAGATATTCCTAATATCATGATGACTTAAACCTACTCTGATTATTTTTTTATAAAACATTTGAAATCCAGATTAATGATGGTCAATAGTTTGCTTCTAATAAGATGTTTTCATTTGTCATGTGTCATGTAAGTTGTCCATCCTGTTAACAACAAATCGTACCAACTTATTAAGAAATAGATAATTGCTTATTTGTCGAGTGGGAAATATAAGCTGTGAATGTATGTATGTGAATTTGCCTAACAATCAGGGGGTATTCGTATTTATTTTGACAATCGGTTGCAGTGATTACAACATATGAGTGGGTCAAAAACACGGAGAAAAAATTCTACATGGTTCGCGATTGAATAACTAAAGAGATAATGGATTACCTGGGCGAAGCTATAGCGCTGGGCGTCGATGCCATCATCTTTGGGGCTTGCATGAAGCAGTACCTGAAGAACAAGAATGCCATGTCCATGATACAGGTGAGTTCAATCGATTACTCTCCGTTATGGTTTATTGATGTTTTGTGTTGATCGCAGGGTGCCCCTTATTTGGATATAGATAAAGATTTGAAGGAGATCGTGCAAACGCACCCCGATCAGAAATTATCCTACGTGTCTATTAGGGGAATGGTGAAACCGATGGGAAATCCTATAGTGAGTTCGAACAATCCGAAGGTATCAGGGGTGGTGCAGCTGTTGAGGATCAGAGAGCATGTGATACAGAGGAGCACGGCGGGTTTCTGGTCGGATCACGAGCGTCTCATACAGGAGGTGCACAACGTGATGCCCTTCGTGCTGGATTCGAACGGTTACACGGTGGAGATCGTCGATCCAGTAGCCGCAGACATTTTAGGTAAATTCTAGGTAAAGAGAGGGGAAAAACTATGCTAACAATTTGTAATTGTTTCGCGTTCTTGTTGCGCAGACATGGACGTTATCTCCGATGTGTTCACGCCGACCGTGCCGAGCGTGATGGACCACATCTGGGGCTTCTTCGCCGGGGTGCGACAACGCGGCGTCCAGACGACGGAGAAGATGTTGCGGAAAGGGACGATGATCACGGGGATCGGTGAATTGGTCGCCTCGAAAGATGGCAGCACTTTGAAGCTGCAGCCGCCCACCAACGAAGCCCCCTTCTATCTAACGAACATGCAGATAACGTCTCTGGTTCGGAAATTGGACGACACCAAAAAGACATACAGGTGATAATAATAATAACGCATAAAAATAATGCAAATTTAATTGAGCGTTGAACGTTAGATGGCTCTGCTTGCTGTTCGGTACCGTCGGCCTGGTTCTCGGCGGTCTGATGGCTCGCAGATTCTACAAAGACTACTGCAAGAAACGCGACGATCTTCGGACTAGGGAGGAACTGGAGAGGAATCGCGTCGAGCGTAGACGTCGCGTGAGAGACGACGATCTTCCCGAGATACACCTGTGCGTCGTGTGTCGCATCAATCCGAGAGAGGTAACAAACACAAATCTTCAATTTTAAATTTTAACTGATAATTACACTTTAATAGATCATTTTACTGCCCTGCGGACACGTCTGCTTGTGCGAGGACTGCTCCACCGGCATCGTAGATAACTGCCCCGTCTGTCGGAGCGCCATAGATAAGAAATCCGCAGCGTACATTTCGTAAACTCTACTACGATTAAATAAAACGACGTGTGTATATACATATAAACTTCTTGGGGAGGAATGAAATTGTTCTAACGGTATCATTTAATACGATGCGAACTGTATTTATTGTGCTTTCGAAATTTTATATTAAAAATTTAAAAAAAATAAATCGATAAAATAGTAATCTTCTTTTAGGGTAATTTTCGAGAAATCTCTTTGGTCTATTTGCACCAATAGAAAAGCGTCGTTCGAGTTACATAATAATAACGTGAGAATATCAATCATTTACTAAAGTTTAGTGTTTCTATTTAAATTCCTGAATTTTTCATTATCTAATTGGATTTTTGTATTAGAATTTGTTGATGTTTTATTGTTATCAAGTTGGATTATTTGAATTAGTTCGCGCACGCCACCGCCGCGGCGCTAATGCGAGAAAATGATATATGCAACAGTGCATGCACGGAGAGAGACGCGCTAACAACGCTTTTGTTTTTAAATTGCTATTGTGCTCCGCGACGCCGAGAGGAGAGTGCGCGCAGAATGTGAAACCAATTGGATTTTTGCGAGTGAGAAGGAAGACAAAAAAACTGTGAGTGTAATTATAAGTTTGTAATTTGATATCGGTGAGAGAGCGGACGGACGCACGCAGACTCCGTTTTGAACCGCACAAAGCGCGTATGTATATATATATATATATGTATGCATATAAACACGCATACCAATACACTTAAATATATTTGTATGTATGCACCACCAGCATCAACTGGTGACAATTAAATTGAGGTTATATTATTCGCGTTATTAAAATGGCTGCGTTGAAAACAGAAGCTAAAGTCGAGGAAAAGGAAGAGGCGGTAGCCGAGAACGAGGAGGTAGAGGTTGAGGAGAACGTGGAGGGTGAGACGCAAGCGGATCCTGCCAAGAAGAAGAAAAAGAAGAGGAAGAAGAAGAAGCCAGGTGAGGTGGAGGAGATGCGACCAAAAAAAAAAAAA